GGGGCTCGGCCGCCTCGCAGCGCGGCGGGGAGCTCCCCGGCCCGGGGAGGTCTCTGGGCCGTAAACAGCGCGCGGGGCGGTGGAAGCGCAGCACGCCGCATCCTGCCACGCGAGACCCGAACGCCCAGGGAGGCGATCGGCCGCGAGCGGAAGGAGCGAGCTGTTCGTCACGCGAGGTAAGAGCTGAGCTGTGAAAGCACCGGCGGGGCCCAGGGCAAGCAGGACTGGCGGCGGGCGCTGCTGACCGAGCCCCAGCGCACTGGCTGCTGGAGGCCGGTCGCCTGCGGCCGAGGAAGGAAACCCCGCTTTTAGCCGCCTGCTCCCTCCGCGCTTCCCGCCCGGCCCGGGACAGGGGCACTGGCTGCGCTGCGAGCACCGTCCGGCAGCTCTGAGCAGAGGGAAAATGCACCCGCTGGGCCGTGCCGGCTGTGGTTATTTTTAAACTAAGTGATTTACTTTCTGGAGTGGAGCTGGCCACGAGCATGTTGTTTTTGTCAACTTGTCTCCAGGTGTGTAGCTGACGTGCCACTTTCTGGGAGGCTGACAGTGGGCTTGCTGTGCTGCTTGCAGGGGTGCAGCCCCTATCCTTCCAACCATGGCTCTGTCCTGCGCATTGAGGCTACTGTCCCGGCACCTTCACCCTTCGAGTGCTCTCCTGAGCACCTTGCCTGGTCAGGACCACAGCCTGCTGATGGAGAAGACGACAGCAGCAAAGTGGAAGGAGAAGAAAAAGGCCAGGGAGGGCTGCAGCCTGCCAGGTTCCTCCTGGGAGGAGAGGTACGGCTCTTCCAAAATGACCAAGCACTCTTCCAAAGGACCAAGCACCTGAAGCGGTTAGAGCAGTGGGTTGGGGGTTTCACCTCTACCCAGCTCCCCCCAGTAGGAATAGAAGAGCCAGGGCTCAGCTGGCTTCCCTGGAGCTTGGCCTGGGGATAGGAATAATGGAAAAGACAAATGAAAAGGTCCGAGAGGAAAGGATCAGGAGCAGAGCAGTTGCCGTATTGGCAAGCAAAAAGTAATAGTCCATTTGATTTGCAGTTCTGTGCCTGAAAGTAGTTGGCACTGTGTGCTTTGGAAGCAGCTCCAAAAATCCCAGTAAGCAGTAACAGCAGCTTATCCAGCTGTGGGGTGAGCTTCTCCATGGGCTCAGTGAGTCAGTAGTTGATGGACAGTTATGATAGTTTGGATCATATACACCTAACCCCTTACTCTTTTTTTTTTTTTTTTTTTTTAAATCAGCTTTTATGTGTTCTGTTCTTGCTCATCCTGCCTTCAGATACAATTAGTGGCAAGTTCCAAGGTTTATCTCTAAACTGCCACTGTGTGGGTGGCCGGGTCTGTGAGAGTGGGCAGCCTGCAATTCCCTGCCTGCTACACACAAACTGTGCATTTCTCTGTAGTGGATTTAAACTAGTACATCATTAATAAAAAAGGTGTAGTGGATGGAAATGTGAGCAGGTAGATGATGCAGGACGGATGCATCAAGTGATGAGAGAAGCATCTTGCTCTTTTAGGGGAAAACTCCAGAGAGACAGGACTCAGGCTGTCCTCGAGCAGCAAGGGATGGCCAAAACCTCTGATTCCATGGGAGAAAGCAACAGAGCTACATGTAGCTTCATGTTGTTGAAGCTACAACATGATCTCTTTTTTTTCCCCCTTCTCTGCCTGCACTTTGGGGTTTTTTCCCCTCTGACCCCAGTAACATTTGAATACTCATTCCCCTGGCTTTACCAGCCTGGAGTCAAATCTCACCCAGGCAGGGCCTCTCTGGGTCCCTGTGTGAGGGAAACGCTGTTCCTGGCCCTGTCCTCTAAAGAGGGATCAGAAAGATACCTGGGTTACCCAGGACACCCAGGTATTGCTGGTCAGTCTTCTGCCAAAGGCTCAGCCTGTTCTCTGGGGAGCTGGTTGTTGTGGTTCCTGGGTCCCTCTTCCAGCCACAAGTATTCTGCACCAGGAAGGTGCCATGAAAAGGGAGTTTGGATGTTCACAGCCAGCTCTGGTGCAGAGCCCGTACCAGAACAGTCCTGCCCATGAAGCAGCTGGCGGGGACGTTATGCCATAAGTATCGGGAGGCAAGTAGTTCTGGGCACTACTGCGATGTTGTGCTTTCCAGGTTAGCGAACGTGGTGACTCCACTGTGGAGACTTCCCTACCAAGAGCAGCTGCAGGTAAGATGTGCTTACGTTGACTTTTCTCTGTCGTGTTGCCCCAACTGTCCCTCCTATTCCCCTTGAGCAACAGCCCGTAGCATCTTAGTTGCTTAATGCTGTAGGCTCTTCAGACCCCATTTACTGCTGCTTTAATTCTTCAGTTATTGTGAAGGATAGATTTGGGAGGTTCCCTGTGGGTGGTGTGTGTGATCACCAACAGCACAGAGGATGGGCGCTCGCACAGTGATCCTGTCAAGTGCGGGACAGCTGGCTCACTGGGGCTTCAGGTTGGACCAAGTGCTCCAGGCCAGTGCTTGGGGACCATGGACACAGGATTCCTCTCTCTCCCTGTTGCTCCAAGCGGCTGCAGTGATGAGAAAGGCAGAGTTCCTCTGGTGCTATATCCCACTTGCAGTATTCCCTCCTGTTGGCCTTCCCAGAGGTGGGTGATGAAGAGCTGCCCACTGTCGTGTAGTCCTGTGAGAGTGTTTCTGGCTTAGGACTCCTCTGCAGGTGAAGTATGAAAGCCAGAAGAAGATTTTGCAGACACTGGCATCTCGTCTTGAGGAGCTGGGCATAGATGCACAGAAACCTGGTGGACTCTGCTGTCCTCTCCAGCCTGTAGTCCCTTCGGTGAGTATCCCATGAGAATGCTCTCGCCTCTGAGCCACCAACAGTCTCTCACTCAGCTCCTGAAAAGTCTCATGGTGGGGATTACCTGGATGCAGAGAATGTGTCTGTGGCAGTCCTTGCTAGCTTCGGCTTTGCAGCCTGTGACTGCCGGAGAATGAAACAAGCCTAGTGATTAGGAACCCTTTTTTGTGCCCAAGCCTTTCCTGATAAACCTGTCACTAATCTGTCCCAGAGAGCCATTTCCTCTTCCCAAGGGGAAGTACTGGGGGTCTCGCGCACAAGCTCCGTTTCTGCATTTTGAACATTCATGTGTATCCTCCTGTGTTGCTGTCAGGGTTTAACCTCAGTCAGCAACTGAGCACCACACAGCCGTTCGCTCACTCCCCCCTGCCCCCGGTGGGATGGGGCAGAGAATTGTAAGAGTCGAAGTGAGAAAACCAGTGGGTTGAGATAAAAACAGTTTAATAATTGAAATAAAATAGTAATAATATACAAAGCAAGTGATGCACAATGCAATTGTTCACCGCCCGCCGACCGATGCCCAGCCAGTCCCCGAGCAGCGGCCCCCCCGGCCAGCTTTCCCCCAGTTTATGTACTGAGCACGACGTCCCGTGGTATGGAATGTCCCTTTGGCCAGTTTGGGTCAGCTGTCCTGGCTGTGCCCCCTCCCAGCTTCTTGTGCACCTCCAGCCTGCTCAGTCAGTAGAGCATGGGAAACTAAAAAGTCCTTGACTAGTGTAAGCACTACCTAGCCACAACTAAAACATCGGTGCGTTATCAACATTGTTCTCCTCCTAAATGCAAAACACAGCACTGTACCAGCTTCTAGGAAGGAAATTAACTCTATCCCTGATGAAACCAGGACAGTTGCCAACAGAACAACCAGGCTGGGTTTTGGCTTTCCTCCATTACTTTTTCTTTTAATCAAAGTCTTTACTTTTCCTTCTTTCTCCCTCAGCCCGTCATTAATGGCTACCGAAACAAATCTACTTTCTCTGTGAACCGAGGACCAGATGGGAACCTCAAAACCGTGGGGTTGTATGTGGGAACTGGCAGAGGTCAGAGCAGGTCAAGGAGCTGGGTAGAAAACTGCTGGCGTGGGCTGGGTTGGGGCAAGGCTCATCTGTGACAGTCTCCACTCAAATTAGAAGCCTGAATCCTGGGGGATGCCAACAGAAACACCACCGAGTCCAGGGCAGCAATTTTAAAACCCCAGTTCATTAGCTTCTTAGGAAACACCACCTTCTAATTTGCTAAATACAGCAGTAAGGATGACAGCTGTGGTAGCAGCCCCTCCAGGGTTTAGCTTTGTTATTCTTAATTATGCTGTTCCCATGCTTTTGGCGTGCTCCAGGAGCCTGTGCTGAGCAGGGAGAGCATGGGGGTGTGTGCACATCCATAGGCAGCAGAGCAACGTTAGAGTGTTTGGGATGCGTGAGGCAGTTTGGTGTTGTGCAACGAAGATGTGAGCTGTGTGCTCCTTGCAAGCTGCTCAGTGGTGAACTCATTCACACCATCGATACTAGGTTTTGCTTTTCAGCATCCATAGCAAGAGGTGCTGGGGTGGTTGCTGTGTACTTTTCTCATTGAAAAAATAATTCCATGGATGCATTTTACCTCTGACAGCAGAACTTTAGCATTTAAACTGAAGTGGGAATGCTGTCTTCCAGGCAACCTAAACTGCTTTGCTGCTGTAAGCCCACACTTTCTCTCCAGTTAGAAAACCAGTTGCTCTGCTCTGGCTCCCTTAGTTTAATCATAGAATCATAGAATCATTAAGGTTGGAAAAGACCTCTAAGATCATCGAGTCCAACCATCAACCCAACACCACCATGCCCACTAAACCATGTCCCTAAGAGCCTCATCTACCCGTCTTTTAAATAACTCCAGGGATGGTGACTCAACCACTTCCCTGGGCAGCCTGGTCCAATGTTTAACCACTCTTTCAGTAAAGAAAGTTTTCCTCACGTCCAATCTAAACCTCCCCTGGCACAACTTGAGGCCATTTCCTCTCGTCCTTTCGCCAGTTACTTGGGAGAAGAGACCGACACCCACCTCGCTACAACCTCCTTTCAGGCAGTTGTAGAGAGCAAGTTACGAAGAGTGCAGTGGCTCCTTTGGGAGTTGCTAGAGGACATTTAAAAAGCTCCAGAGCTCCAACACCTTCATGGAAGTTAGTGACTGGCAAAGGGAATTCTGGCAGGTCCTGCAGACTGTGGGTACCCAGAACATCACAGGATTTAGTGGGGCACTTAGATACCAGTTTTTTCTTTTTTTTTTTTTGGTTGTATAAGGGGAGAATTCTGGGGAAAGGCCTCTCCACAGTTTATCATGTCAGATGCTACAGTGGTTTAAGTGCCTTGAAACAAAACAATTAAATACCTGTCTGTTCTTCTCCAGCAAGAAATATTGTCTGTGTGAAAGCCAACCACGTGGAGAACATACCCCCAAAACACAAACAAGTAGCCCAGGTAAATAAGTCATGTCTGTCCCTAAGACTGTGGAATAGAGGGACTGCCGTAACTCGTATTTGGGAGAACATGGTAATTTTAGTTACACTGGGTTTTCAAGTCCATTTTCATGTTCTGAAAAGTTTCAGGCCTGACTCTGGTTGATGAGTACTTTTTTTAAAACTTGCATGTTAATGTTGCAGCCTCTAAACTGTCCCAATGAATGAAGTTAATCAAGTGACAATGAATTCCTGCCAATCTATTAAAACACATAAGAATCACAAATTGAAATTATTAAAATGTCTTGTCTTCCAAGAACTTGGAAAGAGCTTTCACTCAGTGTATTGAAATCAAACAGAAAAAAACAGATGATACTGGTGGAAGGGCCACCCGTTTGGGGTGCACAGAGTTATGCTAAGACCAGGGCAGTTGTTTTTTGTTGTCCTACAAGTGCCGTTTCCCCTCCGCTCAGTGCTATGAGGAGTTCATCCGTTGCTCCCCACTGGACCCCTGCATTCTCTTCCACGAAGGCGGACACTGGCGGGAGCTCGTGGTACGCACCACCAGCTGTGGCCACACCATGGCTATCGTCACCTTCCACCCCCAGGAGCTGGGCCAGGTGAGTATGCGGAGGACAGGGCCCCTGGCAAGAGGCACATCAGGTATCTGGCTGACCTGAGCGTGCTCTGCTCTGGCTCCCTTAGTTTAAGAAGAGTGCAGTGGCTCCTGTGGGAGTTGCTATAGGACATTTAAAAAGATCACTTGTATCACTGGGGAGAGGTGTCTAATCAGATTACCCAAACAGCCAGGTTTTCCTTTCTCACTCTTGACAGGAGGCACTGGCTACTCAGAAAGCATTGCTTAAGGAGTTCTTCGTGTGTGGACCTGGAACAGTCTGTGCCTTGACTTCACTTTATTTCCAAGAGAGGTATATGTCTTGACACAGGGAAAGAATGGAAACAAAGCCACCTCCTTTTTTCTCCCCCCTCTGATCAAATTCAAATTGTGCCAGTTCAGGGAGTACTTGAAGAGAATGACAGGTGTTTGGATGCCTCTTGCAGACATGGTTTCGAGATGGCCACATCTTTTGTTTTTCCAGAGCTGAAATAGTTGAATACACTATGCGTCTACCTCATGGGAGTTATGAGCCTGGGAAACTAAAGAAAAAAACCTGCAGTGACTTTCCCAAGACAGTAAACCACATTAGAGCAAAACTGGGGAATAGACCCTAGGACTGCTGCCTTCTGCAAAGTCATTTTGATCCTTCTAATGAATTCTAGGCTGTGCAAATTACAGATCCCTTACAAAGAATCAAAATTCTTTGATCCTGTTGAAAGGCTCACATGAAATAAAAGTTGGTGGGAGGAGAACCATCCTCCCCTGCACATCAGCACCCCAGGAATGGAAATGGAAATCAGCTGCCTCTCTGCCGCCTTCTAACAGCTGTTTTTTGTGTGCTCTGCTAGCACCATGACACGCTGCTCCCATGAGCAGTCCCCTTTCCAGCTCCTTCACGGAGAACCGCACATTTTTGAAGAAGTGCTCGGCCTGAAGTTTCGCATCTCTCCAGATGCCTTTTTCCAAGTAAACACGGGTGGAGCAGAAGTTCTGTACCAGGCAGTTGGGGAGCTGAGTCAGGCTGGTGGGGACACCGTCCTCCTCGACATCTGCTGTGGAACGGGTGAGCAGTGGCTGTGTGAGCCTGGCTCCCTAGGCTGGTGCTTTGCATGCCAAAAATGATCCCCACTATCTAAAGGCTTGTTTCTTCAGCATGGATGTACAGAGTATTTTTGTATCCCTCATTTCTAGGCACAATTGGTCTCTCTCTGGCTCACCAAATGTCCAAGATTATTGGTATTGAGGTGGTGGAGAAGGCCATAGAGGATGCCAGGTGGAATGCAGCATTCAATGGTGAGTTCAAACTTGCCGTGGCAGAAGGTTTCAAACTAACTGCTGAAAAATCAGAAGCAGAAGTGAGCAGAGGGATCCTACCAAGTTACCTCTACGCAGCAAAGGGTGGTACTTCATGTTACACCCAATGTCTGGTAAGACCGACTCCTCAGTTCGTGTGGTTGCTTTTTGCTTCACAGGAATTTCAAACTGCGAGTTTCACAGTGGAAAGGCAGAGGCCGTGTTACCGCAACTCCTGTCATCGTGGGAGGATGCCCGACCCCTTGTTGCTGTGGTGAACCCATCTCGGGCTGGGCTCCGTGAGAGAATGTTATTTATTTTCATCTTGAAAACAGAGAATTTTGAACAAGTTCTGTGAGACCTGTTACACTGGCTCCAAATCCTCTGCTCGCTTAGTCTCTAGTTTCTTTACCTTGTTGCTGATAGCAGCTAAAATCCCAGAGAGTCTGCTGTTTTCAGTGCCTTTATCATGCTTTCTCTTTAAAGCAGACCGCTCTAATCTTTTTTCCATCTTTCATAGGCTCACAGAATTATTTAGGAGAGAAGGAGCCTCTGGAGGTCTGTGGTGGAATCTCCCAACTAAAGCAGGGACAACTGCTTGTATAAGTTGTATAAGGTTGCACAGGGCTATAAAGCCCAGTTGAATGCGTCAAAGGGTGGATACCCTCTTCTGAAAATGTTTTCCCCAATATATTTGATCAGTGTTTCCCCTTGCTGTAGAGCACCTGTTGCTTCTCATCCTCTTCTTGTGCCCTGCTGAGGAGATTCTGGCTCCATCTTCTCTGTAATCCCCCATGAGGCCCCTGAAGATAGCAAATGGATCCCTGCTCACCTTCTCTTCCCCAGGCTGAATAACCCCAGCCCTTGCACTCTCCTTGTGCATCCAGTGCCCCAGCCCTCTTAACTGTCTCGGTGGTCTCCACTAGAGTAGCTCCAGTGTGTACTGGGAAGTCCCAAACTGGTCCTGGTGCCCAGATGCAGTCTCACAAGTGTGTGTGGAAGGTTTTAGGTGCCTCTGCTTAATTAAGTAACAATGTTTCTGTCATCCTTCATCCCCCTGGGAAGCAGAGGGATTTCTCCCACTGCTCTACCCTGCCAAATCGGCTGAGCTGTTAGCAGTATGGGTCGCATCCATGGCCTCCTAAGAACCTGCATCTGAGACAGGACATAGCAAAATGTGTATATTCTTTTTTTCCTGTATTTTCGACAGTTCAGTGCAGTTCTGTGATGCTTGCTGTGCAATCATTCCTTCTGGAGAGTTCATGGTGGTGGTGGGTCACTGGGAAAGCACGGTATCTGTTTTTGCAGATTACAGGGTTGTGCAAGCCATCCGAAACTGCAAGTCCATCCGAAGGCTGCTCTACATCTCCTGCAAGCCAGAGGGTGAAGCCATGAGGAACCTTCTTGAGTGAGCACCCTCCTCTCTTCCTTTCCACTGACCTTAGTGATAGACCCTATTATGTCCAGACAAGGACATAAAAATCTGACCTTGGCTTAGGAAGTTTTTTGTTGCAACTGAATTTCACTAGGTGAGTTCTGCAGGTGTGATCCAGGACTAGTCAGTGCATGGTCAGAAGTGGTTTATGCTTCTGCATTACTTCGGGTTTACCTGCAAGCTGCACTCACTGGCTTAAGATAGTGGGTATTCTTTGGGTTTTACCTTCCAGCAGGATGCTTTAGTGCATCAGTAAGGAATATAAAATAATGCAAACATGCTATAATGGCATTGTGCATCCTTCCCCAACAAAGTGGCACATCCGGATGTGGGATATGGAGTCCACTGGATTCAATGTAGGCCCCTAGCCAATGAAGTGAAGCCAAAGGGATTAGTTACCTGCTTGGGGTTAATCATATAGCTAAGTCTTTATCTGGGGCAGGCCCATTTGCAGGTGATAAACCTGTCTGCAGGTAACCAATGAAGGTAGGGCAAAACTGAGGATTATTTCTTAAGGGTATTAAGTGTCTTTCAGCTGGGCTGGCTTGTGAGAAAGGGAGCTTTAAACCTGCCACTGACTCTTCAGTTTGTCTATGAGGTTTTCAGAGCTGGTTTGGGATTCAGTATTAATGGTTCCAGACCTCAGCCAGTGTCAGCTGCAGACTCTGAGGGATGTTAGCCAAACACACGATACCTCCTTAGTGCATCCTCTGTGCTATTGCGCTACCAATAATGGTGGGAAGGCTTCTGCTACTGGTCTAAAGGATGCTCTCTTTGCTTTCCACAGGCTGTGCTGCCCACCTGACCCAGGGAAGAAGCTGGCAGGAGAGCCATTTGCCCCCACATTGGCTATACCTTTTGACATGTTTCCTCATACTGTTCATTGTGAGCTGGTGCTGCTGTTGACCCGCTGACAGAAGGCAGGTATGCCAGCTCTGAGAGCTTGGGAAGCAACCTCCTACTGTCCTTAAGACTGGAGTTGATGTAGTTAAGATTTTAACTTATTTTCTTGAAAGTTGTATAAAAATAAATAATTTTGCCTTTGCTCTTACTTTGGGTTGCCTAACTACACTGTTCTGTAAGGAAACACTCGGATTTCTGGGGTGAAAAGGTTCTCTGTAGCATTTCATCACCCTTCCCTCCCCTGCAAACCTCTTCTTGGGCTGCTGGTTAAAGCAGCCTGGAAAATACCCTTTCCCTGGTATTGTGGGTTTTCACCATCAACATGTGAATACAAAGTACTAAAATCCACTGTATTTTCTATTACTGCCGTGCCATTAGTTCTCTCCTTGCTTGAAGGGTATTTCAGGTGTTTTTCAAGTTGATAGTGAACTTGCTATGAAGAAACCGTAGGAACTAGAAATCCTCATGCTTCACTGGGCAAGTGTTGACTTTTGGGGTCAGGGAAATATTTCCCGTATAAACTTCCAAAACCAGTATTGAATCGCTGTCAGTCACGTGTATAAGTTGGAGGCAATGAGAAAGATTTTTCTATAAAATGAAATTAAGAGAAAACAGATTTCAGTGTCTCTCCTTCCATACCTGCCTCCCCCTTCTCCGCTAATGCTTGCTGATACCTAAATATGAAGTGCCCTGTGAAAATGGGCAACAAGTTATTTCCTCATCAGGTTGCTCTGCAATAGCTAATTAAAAAATTTGGTGTGTTTTCTATCTGTCCTGCCATGCTCACTCACTGGCAAGCTGTGAACCTCAATGTTATATGAAGTTCACCTCTTCAAAAGATAAAGCTGCTACAACCTGGAGGTAGGTCTGAGTGAGCAGAGTTCCCTTGTGTTTTGTGAACTCCACGTTTTGAGGGCTCCTTTTGATTTCTATTTTTTAATTTTTACTGTTATGTTGTATTGAAGTTACCTTTTGGTTTATCCTCATCATCTAGGCCAGACCAGTAGCAGAACACATTTCTACAGTCAGGCTGTTAAATTTGACTCTTTCCTCCGAAAGAGGAGTTCCCTATTTGATTTGGGTTAATCAAGGCTGATAAAGGAAACAGGGAGAGCTGCCTGTATTTTTCAGACTTTTAACTCTAGTCCTAGGGAACACTGAGCTTGGACTAATAACAACAACCACCAGTTCTCAAGCCACGGGGGCTTAAAATACATGGGTTTAGGACTTGAGACTTACTACACCAGAAAGGGAGGCGATGGGGAGATTCCTAACAGGCATAGGGAGTGTCCTCTTGTACTATCCCATGAGTGTAAGATTTTTGCACACTGTTACAGCCTCCTGTATTCAGTTTATAGCGAGGGATACAGTTTTCCAGCAGTTCTGTTTTGTATAATTATACCTTGCCTTCTCGCTGCGAGATCTGAATGGATTTCTGCTTAGCCTGGCTATGCTTTTGTCAAAAGGAAATTTGTTGCAAATTAGTGGGGGAGAGATAATGACTTTAAATCAGAAAGTAACAGGATCAGGGAACCTTTCCACTAGTCTCTGAAGAGATGAACATAGAGGACAGGTTTTATCTGCAATGGGGGAGGGTGGCCTCACCGTCCCTTTTGAGCATCAGGTTCTAGGACGGTCACAGGGGCAAGACATCTTTTTCACTTTTCTGGGGCAAACATATTAAGCAGTATGTTGTTTGCTGTGTATTAGTGTCTGAGCATCTGAAACTGAAAACTGCCTATGTACAAGAGACCTCAGACCACTTTTCTTCCATAGCAGATTACTCCCGTGCCCTCTGCTAACATGTCCTCGTTTTCTCACTAGTGAGCAACTGTGCTATGTGTTTGGCTGCCATCCCACATCCCTAGAACTGGCTCAGTTTTGGCTTTCCGTGGGTAATTTATGGAACATGCAGGGAAACAGAGGATGACTTAATGGTAGGAGTGGTGGGAATGCTCATTGCTCAGCAGGTGCTAGAGCTGCCTGGCTCTGGCTGCACGGCTGCGGGGCATTAGGACCCAGAGGTTGCTGAGTGGAGGAGGCTGAATCCCGCTCCCGCTGTCATCCTCGCTGCCTCTGCAGCTTTATTCCTCATCTCCTTCAATGGTGACTGACTACCTCCCTCCCGGGTTGGCAGCCAGAGCGAGAAGGCGTCGCTAGGACCGGTTCCCAGGACTGGTTCCCAGCTGCTCCATGGCATCTCCCAGGACTATCACCATCGTTGCCCTCTCGGTAGCCCTGGGGCTCTTCTTCGTCTTTATGGGGACCATCAAACTGACCCCTCGGCTCAGCAGAGATGCCTACAATGAGATGGTGAGTATGGCAGTGGCAGCATGGAGGGAGACGCATTAGGGCTCTCTCCCCTCAACTTTGTGGCAGAAGCAGCATTTGCAGTGGGATACACGGAGGGTGACTGCTCTGGAGCCCTGAGCGATGGGAGGGAGAGGGAAGAAGCTTATCTGTCTCCTTATTTGATGGACACGGAGAGAAACAAATAATACGCAGTGCTGAGGATATCCTGGCAGCCCTCGCCTGGGCTCCGTCTGAGCCTATCCATGGAGAAACCTCTTGTGGATAAGGACAGGGAGGGGAAGCAAGGAGGACGGGGTAGCACAGCACACCGATGCCTACAAAAAGATGGGGACACAAGGGTCTCTGAAAAGCAAGGTCTGAAGAAGTGCCGGACATGTAGCAGGCAGGTACAGCTGATCCCTGGGAGAATACAGGAGAAGCAGATGCCTGCTTTGGCAGCCAGATGATCATCCTCAAAATTCTGTGCTTTAAAGCAAGGATAATGACACTAACTGTCCCTACCTGACCAGACTTGTGCAGGCATTAATTCAGGACGGTGAAATGCTTTGAGATTCTAAGCTGGCAGAAGAAGATATTATTAATAGTCACCTTATTATTCTCTTTAGCCTAGGAAATGAGCCTCTCCTCCTCTTGCCTAATGGGAAAGGGGTGAGGAGAGGAGGGAGAAGTCACTGTGTGCATTTCTCAGCTGGTGAGCCAGTTTGCGCTCCTCTCTGTCCAGGGCCAACCCTACTGCAGAGCTTTGCCAGCTGCAAGCTGCAGGCAGGTGAGGGACTGGCTGCCACATTTTGCTTCCTTGTCTATGTTTGTTTATTCTCCTATGGCCCTTTGCGCACACACACACACACACACACACCTGTTATATTTATTGCAGTGGCTGAAAAGCATTGGTATAATTTTTGTGCCCTTAAAAAAATAGTGCTGGAAGTTTCCAGCACATTCTGTTCTCTCCCTTTGCTCCACCTGCCCAGCTGCTTTTCCTTAGCTCTCAAATAACATCTGAATTGCGGTGCCTCATCTGCAGCCCAGCACAGGGATCTCACAGAGAAGCAGCACCAAGAAGTAACTCAGGAGCAAGAGACTGAGATAAAATGCCCAGAAAACAAAGCTCTTAAGCTTCTGCTTCTGTCCCTTAGGACAGAAAAAAGCACTGAGACTTCAGAAGCACTGCAAAAATCCTTGCTCTGTAAAATACTTCGCTTCTCCTACAGGTAGGAATGATCTTCGTTTTTACAAAGAGAAAGCAGAGGCACTCGGATATTACATAGCACTATCATTCTTAATAGCCCATATTGTAATATGTTCATGGCTCATTAGGCTTTCATGCTTTTGCTGTGCTGCATACCAGGGTGGTCTGTCATGTAATGGAGACAGTCAGTGAAAACATGATCTTGCCAATCAATAAGCATGGCTTCCTGCCCCGAGCAAATGGAGAACCTCTGTTACCTACCTACAACACCAAACTTGCAGTTTTTCATTCAGCAAGAAGCAGACACACTAGTTTAATTTTAAATTTAATTTAAAATACCAGAGTACTCTAGGACATGCTGATAGTACATTTCTTTATAAAGCTGTATTTGTCACAACTGTTTAAAAATACTGTACTCTGAGGAGGTTTTATTCACTGAAGGTTTAAAATGCATCCTTACAATGCATACACTTAAGAGTAAAATGTGTCATGACATCTCCAATTATTTAGTAGCAAAAATGACAATGCTGTATATTTTTTAACCACATGTGAAGTGTCAGCTCCTTTTAGAAGGAAGCAGCAAAATTCAGAGAAGTGGGGAAGTTCTGTGTGCCTGTAGTGCAGGTTTCCAAAATCACATGGAAGTAAATCTACAATCTGATCAGCGCCTGTGAGAGCTGAACAACTCTGTACCTGAGATTCGGCTTCCATTTCCCTCCCTCTGATTAGAAAGCAGACAACACAATGGGAAGAGTATCTGCAGGGACAGTATACTCAAGTGTAAGTGGAAATAATTTCAGTGTCTCAAATAACTAGGAGCTCTATTAAAATACTAAAAAAAAGGAAATACTTGATTGAAAAAGAAAAGAAAAACAAACAAAACCAATAAGCCCACAAGCACCTAATGTTCAAATGCAAGAACTTGAACGTGTGTAAGGACAGAGGTTGTTTCTTCTGTGAAACAATGAGGCAGCCACGTAAGGAGGCAGTGTCTTGCAATTTACACTGCTTCTAAATCCAGCATAAACCAGGGGGCAAAGGATGTCGCATGTCAGCTTGCTTTCATCCGAGGAAAGAAAGGATCATCAAGGTATGTAAGCACAGGATAGGGTTGGTGAATCTCAGCTTTGATGTATAGTCCCATGCTAAGATTGTACCGCCCATAAACACTGGAATATTGTAAGTTGCTTTGAGGTAGAAAGAGACTTCTGTTTTTACTTGCTGTGCCTTGGCTTTTCAGGGACTAGGTGTGTTATTTAATTATAAAGGACAAGCTACTCTTAGAGAGAGGTACTTTTTGTTAACAACATGGTTCTGCATTGCTAATTTTAGCAATCGTAACTTCAGATTTCAGGAAAAGGTACAGCTGGCCTGGTCCTAGCTCCAAAGATGGGTGCTAAGTTGCAGAACTGTTTTCCAGTGAGGAGACAGCAGCTTATAAAGGGGGAATTGCAGGTTGATGGTGTTAATATCCCTCCAACAGAAGCTTTAGTGGTACAGATTGGATATTGTGCCAGAGGGGTCTGTGGTGATAGAAGTGATCTTTAGGTCATATTGCACATCAACCTATTTCAATGGAAGTCACCTTTGCCTTTATTTTCTCACATTCTGGTGTTCTACGCTATTGCTGCTTGATTTCAGAA